CAGCTCTGGTTCCAGAGTAACTGAGAACCCATCTGAAAGAGCCTGATGATTTTATCAGTTTATGTGTCAAGCCCTGCAACACAAAGGGTAGCAATTACATAATTTTCCACTCTGAATCAATTTGAATTCCTCCTATGTAGATCAATTTAATTTTCAGTTTACACTTTTTCCCAGCACATAAACTTACACGTATTTTCATTTTTTTTCAGCTCTCTTCAAAATGCCTCAGCTGGTTTATTTTTTTCTCAACACACATTGCTTTAATGACAATGTTAATTTTCTCATACTAAGCAAGATAGAATTTATTTCAAGAAATTAGATAGCAAATGAAAGCAAAGATTAAAAACCTGCACAAAAGCATAGGAATTAGCACTATATGCATCAGAGTTGTCTATACACTTTTTCTTTCTAGCTGACATCAACTTTTTAGCCATTCACACAATCTATGATAAGTACTTTTAAGATCTCCTTTACTGTTTAAGAATCTGAAATATCAAAATAAATAATGTCTGTAAATAAACAGACACTAAGCATTTATATCAGCATTCACTTTTTACTACATAATATCCAATGAAATGTTAAGGAAATTGCATATCAGAAAAACAACATTCTTAAAAATATGATAAAAAATTAGTATCTTTGAGGTTCAAGAAACAACAGCTACACTGAAATCCTGGTATACTCCTGTATTAATAGGTCCTGACACATTTTCATCAGGACTCCACGTATCTAGCTTTTTGCCTCTGAAAGTACACTTAGAAATAAATTTTCTCTGGTGACACTGAAGTTTTAAGCAACTCAGTCCTCCCTCATCGCCCTCTCATGTGTCCTGGAAAAAATATTTCTGGTTCAAAAACATAAAAAAAATATATAAGTGAAACCTTGGACAAAACTTGTTTTAGCCTCTTTGCTCAGTTCATCACAAATTGCCAGAATAGTTCTACCAGGACAAACGATGCTGATGAGCACTGGAGAAAGGAAAGGTGCATATGTTGCCAAGCAGTTGGTAAGTGTAGCAATTCTGAGAGAGGGATTTCAGCGTCACCAGTGCTGGTTCAGCTCCAGAGCATTCCTAAGGGATTTGCTAACACACTGGGAGGTAAGGTAGGGCTCCAGCCAAAGGGTGAAATGTAAATACTACCATCTGTACTAAGACAACTGTCTTTGGTTTTTGAGGCAAAGTCAGAAAAAATAAGCATGTATAACTTAGTACCCTTCTGTATCTTTGAGGTTTCATTCATCTTAAAGATATTTAACAATTAATGAAGAAAAACCAGAAGAAGACAGCATTATTTTAAAATGTCTTACTATAATGAACATGAGTAAAAAGTATTAATACAGAAATTAAAGTATTTTTTCCAACTATAGTTATCTTGAAAAAAATTAAAATTGAAGTTTGACACGTATATATGAACCATGTTCATAAACATTTTAAAAACAAGGACATTTAGATAAAGTTCCTGGTTTATCTTAATGAATGGTTACAATTAATTTTCTCATTGTAAATGCAACCACTTTATGAGGTCAATAACCCAGAAACAAGTGAAATATTTTAATATTTATGTCTATAGTTTGATCTCCAAATTAGATACACAAATCATCTGAATGTAAAAATACTGCAAAGCATTGTTGAAGATTCCTGTGGCAATATCACTGCAAACACATTTAATGACTGGACCAATTCCAATAGTGTATTGAGATACAAAGCAATATTTCATAGCTTTTAAAATTAAAACAATGGGTCATTAACACAAGGTTCCTTCAGATTGTCTTTACAGAGATAATGATAATATCAGGGAAATCCTGGAACAGTTGTCTTGCTTTTCAGTGTATTCTAAAAAACTCAGATATATTAAGTAAGGCCATACACTTCATGCAGTCAATTCTCAGTGGTATTTCAGGAGAGATTTATCGAACCAGTAGATTGTTTCCTCTCAGATACCACTGAGACATGCTCGTGGAATTCTAAGATGTTTACAGTAAATTAGAAACTAATTAGTTGAACTGAAATGCCAGCACCTGCTCCTGCATTATTTAAAAGAATAAATGGGGAAAAGAAAAAAATCAACAGAAAAACATTTAGGGTTTCACAAATGGAGATAATACTTCAGGGCCTGGATTTCTCCAGGCCTATTTAATCATTCAAAGAGGTTGTCAGAATTATTGGATTATGGAACTGAATCAATGCATCTCAGATATTTTTTCTTCCTGCAGCTTTATAGTCATTATTGTATTAAGATTCTGGCAAACAAGGCCAACAATATTTATGGTTCCTGCCATAACATTAAAAATACATATCCCATTCAGATTTTATGAATCTTGAATTGCAGCAGGAAATGAGCAGTTTAGATGATAATTGACTTGTAAGGATTAGAGTAGTTCAGGTTTCCCCCTGTGCAAAGAGAAGGTTCATCTGAGGTCTTGCAGATAAATGATAATTCCTCCAGAACATCACATCTATCTTTACAGAAAGGTGTTTTTGTTCTGCAAATCTATATTGAGACAATAACAGTTATTAGTAAATCAGATAGAGCAGGCACAGCTAGCCATTTTGTTGTGGTAAAATGAGGGTGAAATACAAATCAAATATTAGATATATGTGGTATTTCATAGGATGCATAACCAAATAACCTGCCCATCCTAATGAGTTTGTAATTTAATCAGGCAAGTATAGTACCCAAGAAATTCTGGATGCGAATGTGTACCATCAGTGAGAGAATCTCTGAAGTGAGAGAAGCTCTGAGAAGAGCTGTGTTTCAAATGGATAACAGAAGGGGAAGTTTTCATAGTACAGGAATTAAGAAACTTTTCATATCAGAGAAATTTCCCTGAATAACAGAACTTAGAAGGAAAAAATAGTATTGTTCCTTTTCATATGCTGTTTTGGTTATAGCTATATTTCATTATTCCATTTCAATTAATAACTACCAAAGTATAATCATCTTTTCTTGCTATCAGTGTACAAGAAGCAGAAGTATCTTCTTTTACTTCTTTTATATTTTACCTCAGTATAAAGGCACAGGAACCAAACAAATACCCAGGTGGAGCTTGCTATCTCAAAAAAAAAGCTCAGAAAGCATCCTCAATAATATTAGATTTCATAAATTTCCTAAGATCTCTATTTAAAAATTAAATATTTTAGTTCTCCAGCAGAGTCCTCTGATCTTTTTTTTATACTTTTCTATACTTTTTTCTCACCTTACCCATATGTCCTCTTAAATTCTGTGGCTACTCTAATTACTTCATCTGACCTTCAACCAACTCATCAGATCTAATCTGTAATGCTGGTATGCTTAGAAGTCCCCAAAAAGTAAGAAAATTGGTTTTGTACACCTTGCTGATTATAAATTCTGCTGTGTCTTTCCTTCAGAATTTGTCTTTTAAATCAGATATCAGACTATTACCTTTCTCATGGTAATTATTCTTTTAACAAAAAGAATAAAAATGAATTTGCAAAGCTCTTAAGAAAAATTATATTAGTATAATATTTTTGGAACATGTTTAAAAATATGTTCATTATTGTAAATTAACTGAACCATTTCACTTCAATGAGATATTAAACTCACTATAGTGCCATGACATGTTTGAGTATCCACATGCATTAGGTCCCATTTCCCCCATCAGTGAGCCTAATGCAAACACACACCATGCAGTGTTATGCTCTCCCCACACACTGTGTTGTGTTCCATGGAAGCACCACAGGGGATGGAGAGTGTAGATCCAGCCCAAAAGGGGCCAGAACTATTCCCACAGCACCACAGTTTAATGTCAAACAGAATGATTCCATCAAAACATATAAATGTTCCCATGTGACAGGGGTGGGAGTGAGTGGTAGAGGTAGAATTTTTCCTTTTCTCAAAGAGCAGAAACTTTGGATTTCAGTCATCAGATATTCCATGAGTCTCATACACAAAGTCTAACACCTGGGCACCCAGGACACCTCTTTAGTGTGTACAAGTCTCTCTCTAGACATATTACGTGACAAATTTGAAGGAGCTTGAACACCTGAGAATTATGTATGTAATATGCTAACCTAACTTTCTCATGGCTGCAAATAAAAGGCTGGGTTACAACCTCAAGTGAGGTGGGGTTGAAAAAAAAGGATCACAATGAAAGAATGTTTTCCACTGGCCTTTGGTTATGGAATGTGCTGGTGGCTTTGGAATAATTTTACTTGAAAAATAAATAATCATAGGAAAAGAAGCACCGGGCATGGGTTAATAACATGGACCCTTGAGAAAAAAAGTTTAAAGAGAAATACATGCTGTCATGGAATCATAACAAATGTGACTTGAAACCGTGAGGAGAGACACAAGCTCTTATTTTTCCTATTTTCATTTAAATAGAAATTTGCATAAAATTTCAGGAAAAATAAAATAAGAATATGAAGTAGACTCAGGCTTATCATATCATTCAAAAACATATTTTAGCTCAAACTGGAACTGAACCAAGTTTCCAAGCATTATTTCGAAGACTTTGTTGAACCCTGCCATCCTCTCAGAGGCTTGCAGTTCAGTGGAATGGATTGACCAGGTTGCAGAGGGATGTTCAGCTCTGAGCCTATCTGCATTGCTTGGAATCTCCCTGCCCAAATCCCTATCTATCACCACATGCATGGACAAAATCTTCAACAAAAAACAGCATCTTTTCACTGTCTTTATTGTTCTTTACAGTTCTCCAAACACTAGCAAAGAGATCAGTTATTTGGTTGTACTTCAAGTGGAGTATTTGCTATTCTAACAAGAAGGATCTTTATTTCCTAGTCTCCTACAGTGGGCACCCGTGTTGAGCTGGGAACACAAAGCCAAGCCCTCTCCTTGCAGTCACCTGCAATCTCACTGCCTGAGCACGACTGCACACAGGCATTCATACATGTCTGCATGTGTGTGTTGAGGGGGGGATCCAGTGGAGAAGACCAGCAGAAAGGTCTGAGAAGTTTTGAATCCTTTTTCCCAGAGCTGTGGAGCTATTCTTATTCCAAATGTAACATTATACTATACCTTTCTTTGGTTATACCAGACTGTATGCCACCCTCAAGGGCACTTCAAAGGGGCTGTGCTTCTCCATTTGTAACACTTTCCATTTCCCTGAAATGGAAAAAAAACATTGAAGAAACCCTCTTTGGCTGAAGTCTGAGCAGCATGCCTGACTGTACCACATGGCCTCTTTAAAACTAAAATATTGTAATTTCCTTTATGAAACCAGTTCTGGACTCATGGGCTGGTTGAAAAAGTAACCTTGTTAGCTTGAATTCTAATGAAAATAGCATCAAAAACACTGGAATCAGACAGAAGAAAAAAGTTTGGTCTCTATTTCCTGAAACAGAAATAGGTCCATTATTAATTTATTTCCCTAACTGGAGCGATCACAAATTATCCACATTTTTTGCTAATCACTTGACAAGTAAATCAGAAAACCCCATCATGCTTCATCAGTAGATGATAAATAATATAATGCAAGTTTATCTAGACATGTGTAAGGAGTCTGGGAATGAAGAGCAAACCTTTTAAAATTATACTTTCAATACTTGAGCAAGTCATTATTATGATAATGTTTTATTTATTACCACTTAAAACATGACTAAGTTATTTTTTGTTTCATATTAAGTAACATGTACAAAATTAGCATAGCAATTTCAAGGCCCTCTCTCTCAAAATCACATTGCTACGTTTTTAATGTGGGTGGATTAACTGTTCCTCCTCTAAGTATTGTTGGCTATTCTTTTTCCAGCTGAAGTCAATGCATTAGTCAGGCTATCACTACCATAAACAAATGTAATCTATTTCATCCATTGATTAAACCATCAGAGCCTGAAAGAACATTTCACCATCCAGGAAACCAAATGGGTATTTATAACTTCCATTCATGCTCTTTTTGCATACAGATTGTGAAATCACAGAGGCAGCATTTTGGTTTCTGACCTAATGTATTCACACAGAGGGATCAGTCAATTTTGCAAAAGAAGCAAAAAGAATTTAAATAAATGTTTCAAAGTCTAACACTAAGTCTGCCAGTAAGATGCAGTATATTTTAATATAAACATTGCACAAGTTCCATTCTGAAACTTGAAACACACCTGCTTTAAAGAACGTTTTGCTTCAACTCCTGAACCTCACTGCTGTCACTGCTCCCCAGATGTCTGGCCCTGTGAAAAGCAGCACACAATTTGCTCTGAGAGGGGGACTAACAAAAGATTAATTTGATTATAATCCTCACTGGTGGATCTTAAAGGAAGTAATGTAAATACTCGTATTTCCAGCACCTATTTATTAAAACTGAATACTCTTGTACCTACTTATGGGCCATTTGCAAGTACAACTTAACTCCACTAAATCATAATTTTCTGAAAAGAAGATTTTGACAGCACTTTAGAGTCTGTTTCCCTCAATTCCAGTCCCACAGGTTTTAAGTAGTTCTGAGCTTAGAGTAACAAGTAGGTTGTTAGGGGTTTTATGAGGAAACAAATAGCTAATATAAAAAACTACTTTGTCTTGTCTGGAAAAGTTATATCCACAGCCTGCTGACCATGGCTAGGAGTAGTTACTTAGGGGGAGTCACTGGAAAGCTTGTACCCATTGATTCTTCCCCTTCTATTTCATAAGAGTTTGCCTCTCTTAGAATCACAGAATTGTCTGAAAAAGACCTCTAAGCTCATGAAGTCCAACCATTAACTCAGCACTGCCCTGTTCACCGCTAAACCATTGCCCTCAGAGCCATGTCCATTGTTTTTTTGAAAACTTCCAGGGAGGGTGATTCCACCTCTTCTCTGAGCATCCTGTTTCAAAGTCTGACAATACTTTCAGTGAAGAAATTCTTCAAAATATCCAATGTAAATCTCCCCTGGAGAAACTTGGGGCTATTTCCACTTGTGCTATCACTTGTTACCTGGGAGAAGAGACCACCTTTGTTTGGAAAAAAATATAATAAAATCCATTTTGAATTGCAAAAGTGACAGAAACTAAAAAATTGTAAAGAGCACTTAGAAGATAAAAAGCGTCATTCTTTGTTACACTGCACAGAGTGACAGACATTAGAAGACCCCACATCTACTAACTCCCCAGAAAATATTAAATTAATCAATATGCTGCATATTCAAAGAAGTAATAAAGAAAGGATAGAAAAATAAAGATCATCATGTTCTAATGACACTTGGGAAAAAATGGGAGGTGGAAAGGCTGGACAAATCACAGGATCAGAACAAGCATGAAGTTGGCAAAGCCCTCTGTAGTTTGTCAAGTCTCCTGCTCACAGCAGAGTCAGCCACAGCTGTTTGCTCATGTCCGGACAATCCATCTCCAAGGACAGATACTCCACAATCTCGCTGCTTCTGTCACCACACACCCCTGAAAAGAAACTGCCTTCACTACCCATCAGGAACACATTGATAAGCCTTGTTTTCTCCAGGATGAAAAAGCCTGGCTGTCTCAGCCCATCCTCCTGTGCCAAAGGCTCTGCCTTAATCAACTTTGTGGCCCTTCAATGGACTCTCCAATATGTCCATGTCCTCCTTGTATGACTTGTTAGCATATCATGTTCAGAGCTTTGTTCTCTGTTTGGTATACAAGGACTTTTGGACATGCAAATTAGTGAAGAGATAACTAAAAAAAAGAAAAGGTTAAATATTCCTGACAGGACCACACACAATTCTGCATAATTCCAGTCTTTAGTTATGTTTACTAACTTGAAGAGAAAGTATTGTCATCTCAACAAATGATACTAACATCTTATTTTTGTGCAGCCTGTGTTCATAATAATTTAGGTATTATAGTACACCATCAAACTTTCATGAAATGCATGTTTGTCTGGAGAGAGGAGAGGTAGCCCCGTGCCTTTTATTTTTCCAGGGTAAAGCAAATGTGTATCGATAATATAAGAGTACAGACTAAACAAAAACCTTCCCCCTTCTTGTATGTACTTTGATAATGAAATATAGTATGAGAAGTTTTTGAATAAGAAAAAAAAATTACAAGTAAAGTCTGCACTGAATTTATTTATACCATCACAGACATCTGTAGCTTTAAATACATAGATAAGAAACTTAACAGTTTGTAAACCCTGCTATCTACAATTTTATTATGTCTAGTACTAAATCCCATCTATGACATTTTTAAATTGAGCAGTGGGAATTTTCAAAGGAATGATTTTATTTTTTTTTTTAATGGTGAACTATTTCAACACAATCTGGAAATGCAATTTTTCACATCAGGTTTCAAGAAAATATATTACAAATGCTTAGAGCAAGTGTATTCTTCAATGAATCACTGTTATTCACACATGGAAATCCAGGAGGTCTCCTCACACAATTAAGCACCTAATTATGTGGAGGAAAAAAAGCAAAACAAACAAATGAGTGCCTAAATAAATATATGTGATTGAACTGCTCATTCATTTCTTGTCCTCATTTTAATAGCATATTCTTGCCTGTACTAGCTATAAAAATATTAAGCATGTGCCAGTGCAATGGGCACACACTTAATATTTCAGTTTATATCAGCAATTATTACTTCAGGGTGAGCAACATATACAATATTTCTCTCATGAAACACACATGAAATAATTTGCCAGGGTATTTGACCAGTCAAATCTGGTTCAGTCTGTTGACTGGTATTGATTCTGAACAAAGCAGAGAGTGCTGCATTTTTCAAAACCTAGACTCAATAAATTCACAACCACACCAATTGAGCTGACAAACCAGAAGCCATACAATACATTTACATTCACAGCTAGCATGCCTTCTCTGATCTTTTTCCCCCAGACATGAGGCTGTAATATGATTTATTCTACTCTATTATTGCTTTCTATGTCCCAGTCCATGTTTTTGCTTAGGGACGCATGATGAATCAACTGCCAGGGGCCAGCACACTGAAAAAGTGAGAATATGAAGACGTGATAAGGTGAAAATGTGATTACAGTTCCAAACCGCCCCCAAAAGAAAGTCCCTGTCACCACAGCTTACACACCACAGTTCAGAAGACTAATATGAATCAAGAGTGAAAAGCCAACCAGAAATTTTAAGCAGACTACTGAAATAAAATTACAGGGTATGTGGCAAAAAATGAGTCGAAATGAGAGAGAAGAGTAAAAAATCCTGTATCTTATTCTGTAAGCTGAAAAAACCTAGCCTGCAATTCACCTAATATCAAACATTTTCATCAGCTTGCACAGAACTGTTATCACAACATTTGCATTTCCATAGACTGCTTTCTAGAGCAGCTGAGAAAAAAAGAAATTAGAAACACAGTTATGATAAGTCTACTTCTCCTTAGCACTGTCAGCTTACTAGAGGTTGTTGCCTGCCCCACTGTTGGCAGCCAGCCCTGGCAGCATTGCCCCACAGGCTCCCCTTGCTGCACAGAGGGGTCAGCAGAGGTGAACTGGCTGGATGCTCCTGATAACAGGAGAAGTATCATGGGCACTGCTGCTGCCCACAGCATTCTGCCACCATTACCACGCTTTATTAAGAAAAAAGAGAACCTTTCACAGTAATGTGGAAATATTTCCTGCAGCATGAGGCTTTGCTGGAAGGCATCACACCCAAGCACTGCTCTGCCTCTGTAGTGCTGGACTTCTGAACCTCAATGGGAGTTCAGTGATAATCGCTTTTGACTGAAGGCAGAACAAGACTAAAGAGGGCAAAAGCTCACAAGGTGCAAACTGTGTCAGCCCTTGTCACAAAGACAGACAGCTCGGGAAGCTCCTCTCTGTTAACTGGTTGAGTCCACTGTTGTTCCTGCTTACCATTAATAAAAGCCACAGATATGCCAGCTGTCCCAGCTGAAGGATGAAAATCACTTTCAGACAACTTAGATGACAAAAAGTAAGATTTTTATAGTTAGTTTTCTTCTCCAGATTCTCACTACTAAAAAAAGTTGTCCTCAAATGGTGACTCTCTTCATTTATGTTAGATACATTACTTAAGCTAAGATGAATCCTAGAATTATAGAATATCCTGTGTTGGAAAGGACCCACAAGAATCATCAAAATCCACCTCCTGGCCCTGCATAAGACTGTCCCAAGAACCACATCTTGTGCCTTAGTGCATTGTCACCCCATGTAAAAATGGGGTGAGTTTTTCTATCAAGATCAGGTGGTAAGAGCATGTTAAATTTTTTGGAAAAAAGAATCCCAACTACAAGACAGAGCAGATGTAAGCAGAGCAGCACCCATACTGGAGAAACTCCCTGGAAGTACAGACTCTGCTCAGTGCTCCTGTTCTCCCTCCCATCTGTCATCCAATTTAATCTGACTATGTTGTATGGCTGATGGGGGTACTGTACACATCTTCATCTGCATTGGGCACTTCCAGGAAAATGTTTCCCTAGCACCACAGGGCTAGAAGTGCAGGTGTAATGGCTACATTTTTCCCCTTTGACAGAATTAAGTAGTCTGGCATTACCTCAGCATTGTATTTCTCTAAATGCAGAACAAACTGACCATTTATTTTTAAATTAGAATTTTTTTCTAAAGGTGTCCTAAAAGTTTCCAATGAAACTTTTCCAGAAAAATAGACAATAGACATAATAGAATTAATGTATAAAATTAATTTGGCAGAAATTTCAAATCTCTAGAAAAGATTAAAAGAAAGTATCTAAGGAATTCATAAAACTCCAAACTTTTCACAGAGAAAAAATCTATTTTCTGGTCAGCTTTTTTCCCTCCTCATCATGCCAGGTTTCATGAAAAACAAAGTTATTTTTCAATAAAAAGCACCTCAAACCAATATCAAACAGTTCACCAACAGTAGAAACAAGAATTATTTATATAACTAGAAACCATCTTAAATATTTACATGGTACCCCAAAATCACATTTACTAAAATAGAAGCAACATTTCTGCAACTGACACACATATGGAAAAATTATGAGTTAGAGTCTAATGTGGTCTAGTTGATTTTCTTCAGTTAAACAAATTACATTGCACCAACAGTACAGAAGCTGTCCCATGACGACACAAGTGTGTTCCTGTGTACATTTATAATGTATTTAATATCATGCACAGCCCCAGTGCTAGTTACTGTTGATCTGGAAGATGAAGACTCCAGATAATAAAAAAAAAAAAAGAAAAATATGAAAATATCTTTTAAAGCAATTAAATGTAGTATCTTTGACTGCAATTGAAAAATATATTCTGAACCAAAAATTTAAGATA